GGTTTGTAGAAATATGTCCCATTTCTGAATGTTTGTGAGTACCAAGCACTGTTACATCTGATCCTTTCAGGGTGTTTTTTTTTTTTCTATGCTGTTAAAAAAATCAAAACTTTTTTTCCCCTAGCAGACAATTTCTTCACCTGCTAGGGTAGTTAGTATTCTGCTAAACATTTAAGGAGGACCTGCTACAGATCTCTGGAGTTCTGTATCTGTGAAGCTCCCACCTCTGTGGTACTCTTTACCATGAATTCTAGTCACTTTGTCCTCCTTGGACTTAGAGGCCCATCTTTTAGTTCCAGAAGTTGACTTGGATTCCATGACCCTGCACCATGGCCTGAAATTGTTCTCAATGCAGTAAAACAGGAAATTATAAGGCTTACTAGGTTTGTTTGTCATCTCTTATGGATCACTGTCCCTTATGATTTGATATCAAGCATCTTAAGAATCCTTGTTTCACATTTAAGGGCTTTTTTTTTTTTGGTTGCTCAGGTGGGAGGGTAAATCTGGTCTATCTTGGCCAGAAGTGGATTCTTGTATCTCATCACTTACAATTACTTGATGCCAACGCAGAATCTGTATTTATTATAACAGTAGATCAAAATCATTCTTGAGTATTTTGTTGGCTATGCACCACATCCATGGCTTACAATGTAGGGTCATCTAGTGTGTCTATAGTAATGTGAATATTTGTATTTGGGTAGCTTAGTGTTTTTTCTCAGTTTTGATTTAGCAATTGGAGTTTGGGAGAAAATATGCTTCTCATTAATTATAGCAAGATGTAGTTTTGCTTTATCATAAATGGTTTTAGTTTCTGAATTCACAAAGGAAAATATTGTGAACACCATTGATATAAAGAAGACATTTATTGGTGGTGGTGGAGAGTATCAAAACAGAGTGAGAAGAGAAAAATCCTCTTTTCACATCTTATATAGAAAACTCATTTTTCTTGAAGTGTCATGGGTCATAAAACTATAGACTAAAAAAAAAATCTCCAATTATTTCAACCTATTCTTCTACCAGACCTCTTATCAGGATATTAATAGCTAGGGAAAAATGATTAAAATAGCCTCTCCACAGAAGAGGAGTGGATGAATACAGAACTAGTTAGAAGGGTGATAGGACCTGGTCTACACCATGTCTAAGATCCCTCGTAGTTCTAAACCGAATTCCAGAATACCAACTCCACAAACCAAGAGTCAACTACAATTTTCTAAGGTGTTAAGAAACCAAACTAGAACTATTGAAAATTAAAATGTTGACCAAGTGTCATTATCACATCCCCACAAAAAAGATGTGGTAGTCTTACAAAATAAGACTTTTTGCACTCACTGTATCTGCTATGGGTTATATCTGCTGTGTAATTGATGTGACATATTTATTATAATGCTAAGCATTATCTAAGCACCACCATCAATACAGCCTGTCTTCCTGGAATGAACATGATCTTAACTTAAAGAGGAAATTTAAAAAATACAGAATAAACCCTGGCTGGCGTAGCTCAGTGGATTGAACGCGGGCTGTGAACCAAAGTGTCACAGGTTTGATTCCCAGTCAGGGTACATGCCTGGGTTGCAGGCCATGACCCCCAGCAACCACACATTGATGTTTCTCTCTCTCCCTTCCCTCTCTAAAAATAAATAAATAAAATCTTTTAAAAATACAGAATAAAAAAGCAAGATAAAACACATGGTGCCTGAAAATGCTGCAAACATGTTGAAAACCCTCTTGGAGGCTGAAAGTGTGGAAATACAGAATGAACTGTAAGATTCACACTTTTTATCTGCAGACACATAATCTACTTTCCATTTCAATATTTCCTAGTCCTTCTTATTAAAAGGCTAATTCATATAATAATGGTTTGGTAATGATGAACTCCTTTAATTTTACCTTGCCTGGGAATCACTCTAACTGCCCTGCCATTCTAAATGATAGCTTTGCCAGATAGAGTTTCTAGGTTGCAGGTCCTTGCCTTTATGACTTTGAATACTTCTTTCCAGCCCCTTCTTGCCTGCAAGGTTGCTTTTCAAATATCAGCTGACAGTCCGATGGGAACTCCTTTGTAGGTAACTCTCTGCTTCTCTCTTGCTGCTTTTAAGATTGTCTCCTTATCTTTTACCTTTGGCATTTTAATTATGATGTGTCTTGGTGTGTTCCTCTTTGGGTCCAACTTGTTTGGGATTCTATGCTTCCTGGGCTTGCATGTCCATTTCTTTCACCAAATTAGGGAAGTTTTCTTTATTATTTTTTCAAATAAGTTTTCAAATTTCTTGCTCTTCCTCTTTAAAACTATGAATATTAAAATGGCAACAAATGTACCACTATCAACAAATTAATCTAATAAATGAACTAAGTAAACAAGCAGAACAGGAACTGAATCATAGATATGGTGATCATTTGGAGGGTTATCAGCTGGGAGGCGGAAGGGAGAGAATGGGGGCAAAGGTGCAGGGATTAAGAAGTACAAATTGGTAGGTATGAAATAGACAATGGGATTTTAAGAACAGTATAGGTAATGGGGTAGACAAAGAACTTATATGTATGACCCATTGACATGAACTAAGGGAGGAGATTGCTAGAGGGAATGGGAGTATCAGGTAGAAGAAGGGTGCAAAGGGGGTAAAATTGGGACAACTGTAATAGCAAAATCAATAGAATATATTTTTAAAAAGAAATGCTAATTCAGATTACTGCCAGTGAAATAAAACACCTTATAATAGATATTCTGATATTGAAAGTCAAGAAAGGGATTGCTTCTAGTTCAGTTCTATAGACCCAAATGTTTAATATCAAGTTAAACAAATCTCCTACTAAGTTGTCAGGAGTTATTCTAAATAATTTCCCCCCATTTATATAGCACAGTGCTGATGTTACAAGTTCCAATGTAGCATAGAACAGTGGCTCCCAATTGCTTTAGCATTTATCATGCACAAGAGACAGGAGATATGTTGCCTTATTTGTATAACTTAGTTGCATTTCTGATCTCTGAAGTACACTTAAGCAGCAAATTGGGATTTAAGGTTGCTGCCTGAAAAGTAGCATCCATGAACATGCATGAGTTGGAAGGAAAATGAATTAGTTTTTCTAAAGCAAAATGCAGTTCAATATCATTCTGTGCATTAATTGTGCATAATTTCTTTTGCATACTTGATTAAACTAGGAGCCCTGATATGGCTTACCTACACAAATTTTCATACTCGTATTTTTCAGGTCCTGCCTTTGGCTAGTTTGGTTTTCAAAACATTTTTTAAAAAACATTTTCATGCATTTCCAAGACACCCTTTGGGGTCAGTTAGCACCTAATATTTTTCTGAGCAGTCACTGAAGGTGCTTAACTAACATGTTGTACCTGAAAAGTCTTCTGTATAGGTTTTATACTTTAAAGAAAACAGTTCCCCTTAACATTCTATAGTGAGTATGTGGTTCCTTGTATGAGACTAGGGGAATGGAGAAGCTGAAATTCTGTTCACCCACTATTCAATGCACTATTCACATCTTGCCAGCCAGTGAGTTCTGATTGTTTAAGCAGCCACACTACCCATGCTATTCCATGAATTCAAACCCCATTAAGATGATAATCACTAAATGACTATAAAAATATCACATAACTTGGTAATCACAGATGTGCTTATCTGTCTTTGAGGGACTGTTTGGGATGAATAAAATATACTTGGATTATGCCCTAACAAATATAGATTGTCTCCCTTGAACTAGGGTGATTATAAAATCAACTGATCATTGAACAATATGAGTTTGAACTCTGCAGGCATGTATCCAAAAATACATATTTTTTCAATAAATACTGTAAATATATTTTCTCTTCCTTATGATTTTCTTAATTATATTTTCTCTTGCTTTATTGTAAGAATACAGAATATCATACATATAACAAACAAAAATTGTATTAATCAATTGTTTGTTATCAGTAAGTCTTTTGGTCATCAGTAGTTAAGTTTTGTGGAAGTATACATGCATTTTCAACTTCATGGGGGTTGGTGCCCCAGCCCATGTTCACAGGTCAACTCTACACACACACACACACACATATACACACATATGTATATAGATTCTAAGATGTTCTCTGTTGTTGTGGACAGTTTCTTATGACAAAGACAGTCTAACTACACCTTCCCATTGTGATATTATTTTACACATAACTGCTTGGGTGCATCAAATAAGCACAAACTGCACAATAAACTCAATTATCCGCAAATACACAATCCACATACCTTGTGTATTATGCACATGATGTAAGAACTGCCTCCCTACTCTGGGGCCCTTCTGATTCCACAGATTCCTCCCCACCACCCACTGGCCATAGGGAAAGCATTGGTTGCTAAGTTATATTTACTTTCACTGCCTCCCTGTGTGGCAAGAGTGGTAAAAGAAAGAATCATGAAGCAACTATTTTTCTAGTGTTCCTTAAAACCTTTGGTTTTTGATAAGGCTAAAAATATAATTTGCTAATATATTCTTTTTAAAAAAGATTTTATTTCTTTTTAGAGGGGGGAAGGGAGGGAGAGAGGGAGAGAAACATCGATGTGTGGTTGCCTCTCATGTGCCCCCTATTGGGGACCTGGCTCACAACCCAGGCATGTGCCCTAGACTTGGAATTGAACCTTGACCCTTTGGTTCACAACCAATGAATGCATAAATAAGTGGTAAAACAAATCAATGTTTCTTTCTCCCCCCACCTTCCTCTCTCTAAAAGTCAATTTTAATAAATTCAGTAACTTCTACTAGTATCAATTCCATATTTGGAGAATCATGAGTTGATGTATTAACTCTAACAAAAAGCCTCATTTCTAAGCATAGTGACTTTAACTGAAACCCAAAAATATCTGAACTGCTTTATTCTGAAAAAAAAAAATGCAGTCAATTCCACCATAGAGCAGAAAAATATATTTATAATGAAATAGGGACAACACTATTAAGAAAAACTGATGAGTCTACACACAAATAACTTTCATGAACACATTTATTGCAAGTAACTCTATGGCAAGGCAAGTCTGATATATATAAACACTGTACAGAGTTGCAAGATTGTCTCCCAAAACTGAAAACAAGATGTTTACAAAGAAAAGACAATATAAGAGTATTTACAAAGGAAGACAAAGCCAGGGCAACTTAAAGCAGATCTGTAAAACAGAAATACCAAATGAAATTAACTACTATAACTAAGTTTTAGGTTTTACTGGCCAAGTGAGTATTTCTGATACCAAATTAAATGTAGAGGTCACCAAAAAATATAATTTCATCATTGATTTTTCTTAACAGCAGCATAACAGTAGCTGAAAGGTAAGTGATATGTTGGTACACATATTCTAAAAAGATTCTTCCAGCACAATACTGAATAAATTAGTTGTGTCTGTAAACTAAGAAGTAGTGTTCAAAAGACTGCATATTTGTTATGCTGTATCTGTGACTATTTGTACCTATTTCTATTTGTATGTACTGTTGTGTATGAGGTTTACCATTTATTTATTCAGCAAGTATTATATTTGTGCAATACCTTGTCTGCTGGCAGCCCCTAAACCTAATATGCAAATAAAGTGGTATACCATTTTCCCCCAAATAATCTTTCTTTCCACAATTCTGAATGATTATGACTTTATACTTGAAAATAAAATGATGACAGAAGGCTTGAAAAATGGCTGCCTAAAAGACTGCAAGGTTATCCAAATGAACAAAAGCCACACTATATTATTTGATTACATTGGAAAAAAAAGAGTCTGAAGGAACTGAGGAAACTGATGCCTTAGCAGAGACCAGTAACTGGAGTAATTATTGGTACTGCAGCCACATCCTCTTCTCAGTGCCACTCACAAGGAAAATACAAAGAACCTCCCTGCCATCTCTTTGTTTGGTAGGCAAGGAGAAATAATAGATGTTAACTTGGTTCTTCAGAAAAACTAGTTTAGCAACATGTACTATAATAAGCCTGCTTGAAGACAGAAGTACACATTCAAAGACATCAAAACCTAGTGGTGAAACACTTTAGGAAAATATTACCCAATTTCAAAGTTGCACATTAAATGCAAAGCAATTCTTTTAACAGTTACAACAGGTACATCTACAATCACATGTACACAGGTACACAAGGGTGTGCATACACAAATATGTGCACACACACACTAGCACTTGCACACTTCTACAGACACTGATACTCACCTGTGGTCTGATGAGGTTTGCCAGTGATGGTACAAGTCATGAATTGCGTGTCACCACCTAACAAAGCTCTAAGTAAGTTTCAAGACCTTTGTACCTATTCTCTGTGATGACCACCTGTTAGCGTCCTGTTCCCAAAGGTCCATGTTCCTAAAATCTTCAGTTTCCATCAGAGGCAAGCAAAACCAGAAGCAGGGAGCTTGGTCTGATTTTTTTTTAATATGAGACATCTGACATAGGCTAATTGTCCAAAGAAAAACAAGGCCTTGCATTCTTTTCAGTTTAAGTTTTAGAATATTGATTGATATGTACATACTGATTTCTTAAATATGGGAAACTGATATATTTAAAAGAGCCCTGGAAATAGGAGGGGGAATGTGTGGCAAGGAAAGAGCCAAAAATAGGGGGAAAGTGAAGGGTGAAAGTGGGGAGGCCCAGAGAGGCATAAAGGGGCTTTATGAGGAGACTTTTTGAAGAACTTCTTTTATGGGGTCGAGTATAGGTTTCAAAATAGAAAAAAAAATGGTTTTGGAAATGTTCAATTGATTTGTAAGCAGAACATCACAGTGTTGTATGTGAACAAAGAGATAACCTGTTCCTCAGTTCTGCATTTACAATGTTGGAAATGCTAAACTAAGATATCAATTTAGCTGACATTTAATGTGAACAGAATGTCGCATTTTTGCTAATGGGCAATAAATGAGGTAATCTGCCCTTTGGTACTGCCTTTAAAATATTGGAAATGTCCCATTAAGATAACAGTTCAGTTGACATTTAATTCCTTGATCAAGAAATGCTTTCCATATGTACTACACAGAAAAAAATTCCAGATCCTACCTACCTTCTCATGAATATAACTTTTCTTTATCTGCTCTTGTTTAAAGAATGTTCAACTTCAAAACTAAATTTAAGTATTATACATCAATAAAATCCACATTTATACATATGTAAATAATGTTTTTGTAAAGAGAGGAGTTATGAGATGCTCTCTTTTACAGTATTTGTTTCCTTTCAAAAAAGATATATTGGGGAAGGAAACTAGAAAACTAGGACCAACTACAGAGTAAATATCCTAATTCAAAAATCACTGATTCCATAAGGCAACAGTACTAATGATCTGTGTTACGATCATTCAACCGCTACATCATCCACTTGTAGGTTTTAGAAATTCAGGTTGCTTTCTATTCAGAAGACTGAATTTTCTTTTCTTTTAGGCAGATCTGGAGTAGACAAACTCCATAAGCATCACTTTTCTTCCAAAATGTGTTTTTGTGGTGATACAATCACTCTAGAAAGAGATAATAAAACAAAAGTTAGTTACATAATTAAAGTATCAAGTGTTTTCACCTCCACCCTGTTCCAAAACAGAAGAACACAAAATCAAAATTGAACTAGTAGTTTTCGAGAGCCACAATGAGGAGACTGACTTGGTACGGACTTGCCTTACTCTGCTTACTGTCTATAACAAACACCAGTAAAGGCCCAGCAAAGACATGACCACAGTTACTGCTTTTGAACCCAGGCTGCCACTCTGACATTTGTGGTGGATATCAGCTTTGTACACATATGCATGAGCTGTTCTATTTCCTTTCACTTGGGCCAGGAAATGAACCAGGCATTGAGCAAAGATAATTTTTTTCTCTCCTACATTCTCGATTATTCCTTCACCAGATTATGTAGCACATGTCAAAGGATTCAAGCACAGCCTTGGTGATAGTATCCAGACCCACCACTGAATTTCTTCTAAAAGAGCAAAGTTATATGTGCAAAGGAGATTTGATAGAAATCCCCATCTGTGTAATAAAAAGAAATTCTGCCATTACTCTCTCGGACTTCTGCTTATTGAGAGGTTGCATAATTGGGAGTAGGGCAAAAGAAGGGTATCTGGTACATTGAAGAAAGCATTTAGCTGGAGAAGAAATGGGGATAAATGGTCAGCAAATTGATTATGGGATGCTAGTGTTATTTAAAGATCAGGTCACAAAGTACCAAGTATTCTATTTCATAACAGCCAAATTAACAGAATCAGTGGAAAGCATCCCCCAGAGTAAGCTTTGAGTACAAGATCTTGTATTAAACCACCAGTATACACTCTGCATATTCATTTTTTTATTAGAGGTTTAAAACATGTAACAGACTTGCATTTCAATGAAGCATCAAAGGTCACCATTTCTCTCCCACTTACTTGTGGGTATTAGTTATAATTCATTGCATAGGACTGTTCCTCCACATTAAAATGTTTAAAAAATAAACACCCTAGATTAGTAAAGGTACTAAGCTTTCCTGTCAGCAGTGAACTTAGGAAATTGTAGATTCTGTATATGAATCAAGTTTACATAAGATGAAAAGTGTCTATGATAGCCAAAGATTAACTGTGAGAATGAATGCATTAACAACTCAATTATCTACTGTAAAATTAGACTAACCTACTATTAAAGAATTTTACAGTTACTATCAGCTATACGTTTTTAACAGAAATTTAAGATTAGAAAGTTATTGCACCTAATTTAGTTTGCTATTTTTCTTTTCCTTTCTATTTATTTATTTTTTAATTCTCACCCAAGGACATTTTTTTCATTGCTTTTTGGAGAGAGGGAGAGAAATATCTATTTAATAGAAGGGCATTGACTGGCTGCCTCCTGAATGACTGGGGATCACATGCACCCTGGCTGGGGACTGCTGCCCCCTGGGGATCAAACCCACAACCTAGGTATGTGTCCTGATGGGGAATAAAACCTGCACTTCTTTGACTACTGGATGACTATCCAACCAACTGAGCAACACCAGCCAGGGTGCTACTGTTTCATATGAAATTATATTCACATATACAGCATACTGCATGTGCTTGAAAGAGAATTTCTCACTAATCTATATAATACAATACATTTCATATGTCTTTTCCCAGAACATACAAATTAAGCTCCATGTAACTACCCCATCAACATTATACTAAGCCTGAAATTAGAACCATTTGTTATCAGAGTTGTTTTCCTTTCTTTGTTACTATTTTTAAATGACAGAAGCTCTACTAAAAATTTGATTCCTATTTCAATTGCTTTCCAATAACACCTGCACCAGCATTGAGTGAATACTTGATAATACACTAAAATCTAGGTGGTATTATTTCAAGTTTACTTTACCAAATGTACTTGCCAACTCTTTTTTTTCTTGCAAGTACCATCAGTATTTTATTTGATACATTTATCTCCCAGTCTTTTTGGTTTATGCCTCACCATTTTTTTTATTTTATTTTAATCATTGTTCAAGTACAGTTTTCTCCCTTTTACTCCCATTCCAGCCCATCCACCCACCCAACTCTTGATTAAACATGCTAATAGAAAGTAATAATGCTTTCCAAAACCAGCTAATCACAAAGTAATTTAATTTGCTTTTGAAATGCATTATGGGAACTTGAGCCACAGATTCACCTTTATAATCCTGTTCTACTAAGACCAACATTAAAATAAGTTCACATTCCCTGAGCACATTCCAAAGAACAAAATAAGGAAGTAACTTAGAAGCTTGCCAGGTGGCAAAAGTAAGCAATTCAGGAACAGTCTGAAAAGTGAATATCAAAGAGCTGACAATCACATCTTAGTTCTGCCTTCTGTTTATTTTGATATTATTTATCAAATGTCAATGCTTTTAATCATCTGGTCTGTTTTTGATGTATTATTTCCACTTGATATGGACAGGTTATAAATAATGACCTTATTGATATCGCTACTTTCCTGTTAACCAAAGGTCTTTTCAATGACAAGTTAATTACTTCCCTTTTAACTAGAGGTATACTCTTCAAGTAATTTTTCTCTGTAGGAGAGAAAACCTCAATGGACTCTGAATGGTCAAAACATTTTCCTATTTCTGCCCTAGAATCTGGCAGGTAACATTTTCTTCTCAAAAAACAAATAAACTTTTATTTTTCAATTTGTATAATGATATAAACCTGAACATTAATCTTTAATGCAATAATAAAGCACATATGACTTTAATATCCCTGAAAATTTGTAAAATGAGTCAAGGAGGCAGTTTCTCCAGGGCATTCCAGACCTCTTTATATGAATCATAAACATCCTCTAATTACAGTTTGAAGTCCAAAACAGCAATGGTTTCTTCCCCTGACCTTGGAAAGCCAAAACTATAAGAATATATTCTCTTTCCACTTTTTTCTATCTAATTAACTTAGTTACCTTTCAACTCCAATTTTCCTACAAGTCAAAAAACATTTTTCAAGTTCTTTTGAAAATTCCTCACTGTTTATTAGTCCACATGCTATCACTGCAAACAACACAGGCAGTGGCAACCAAATAAACATTTGGAGACAAAGAAATAGAAGGAAATGAAGAGAAATGGAAGCATATGTCTCAAAGATGAATGTATAATAATACAATTATATTATTTAACTCAGCATTGCCTTGGGCTTGTATTAATATATAGTTTATTTTTTCCCAATAAGAACGGATTATCATACTTTTCTGAGTCCTGTATATAAATGTATAGGAGGATGTTTCTCTAAGACTTGATAAAAATTCAAGTGCTATCTTTCAAGAATGAATATTTGCAATAATTGCTGCTAGTCTTTCCAATGACAATCATACCAGACTATTGTCTCCTTCATAGATCAGAACATCAAATATGCTCCTTCCCATGATGACAACAAGTTTGTGACAGATTAGACAATAGAATCTATAAGGAAATGGATGACACTTGTAAACCCCCATCTCCTCAAAGGTCAGCTCAATTGTTTCACATCTGCCCTTCACTAGCATGACCTGGACCACATATATATATTCATTCCAGCCTTGATTATCTGGATACAAACTAGTTGGGGATCAGCTACGGATTTTCATTTCAGGTCACTAGCTCCCAATGCACACTTAGGCTACTTTACTTTCCTGCCTAGTTACTGCAGACCTAAAGAATGCAAGTTACCAGAATTCTAATACAAGCAGTCTCCAATTTACAAAAGAGGTATATTCCAAGCCTCCTTGTTTAGTTGAAACTCAAAATAAATTATACCATAGAAACAAGGTTACAAATAAATAGTGAATAGATTCATAGCTTCATCTACACATGCCTATATTAAACCTATGCATTTCCTGAACTAACAAGAGGAACTACTTTGACTACATTCAACCAGCACTTATAACATCATTTCTGTGGGAAGACATATTTGAAGTTTCAACTTGGGACTCCAAGGAAACATCTCTTCTACCCATGGCAATAGGAACAAGCTGCTGAAATAACTGGGGGCAAGGCAGCAGTGGAAATTATGGTAAGAGTTTCATTCACTATTAGGACTCTTTCATGGGGTGGGGATTAGGGTTCTGAGGGTGAGGACTGTGTTGTTATGCCTTCAAGGCTGGAGGCACAACTTATGAAAAAGCAGGAGTTAAAAATCACATTCATTGTTCAAATTTTCAAGCACCTTGGGTGTGCATGTGAATAATTTTCAAGACACATTTAAAGATAGAGACTTCACTGATATTCTAAGTTTCAAGTCTACAAATAGGAAATTATTAATCATACAGAGGTAAATTATATAAATCATGAAAACTAGCTAAAGTGACTATAATTTATGGAGAATTAAATATTCAGTAAAACCAGAAGGCTTGGCTAACATCAACGATAGTGTGATCAATCCAACCATGAAAATAGCTTTCAAAACTTGTGGAATTGGTGTCAGTAATTAGGAGAAAGTCCTAGAGACAAAGTCACACTCTGGGCATGGCTGTATCACTGGTGCTCTCAGCAATACAGAGGCCAATGGTATGGGCAAACAGGGACATCACAAAACATGACTTGGAGCTGCACTCTGTGTTTTCAAAACATTGTATTCTGCTTACATTTTCATTGTAAACTATACATTAAGTATGATATATAATAAAATTTGTTTAAGTTAGTAAAAAAAAAAGCTTTAAACACTGGCCCACCTGCCTCAGTGCCAGCAAGCAAGAGTAGAGCAGGCAGCATAGCATTGGACCTGTAGGACAAGGAGCCCTGCAGAGAATGTTGTTTTTGCAGGCTGTGAAATAAAAAGCAAACAATATTTGGGCAAAATGAGTCTTCTGCAGGTCCTGTGGGACTCTCAGAGTGGCTGTTATGCTTTCAGCCAGTGGGAGACCAGGAAAGGGCATGTTATCCTGAAATTAGGGACACAAGTCATGCCAAGAGCACATAAGGGTAAGATGTAATAAAACCAATGCAACCTTCACCGATAAGAAAGGGGTGTCAGGAAGCTAGAGAAAAATAGCAATAACTTTCTCATTTCACAAAATAAATATCTAA